CCCATGTCCCCTGCATTGGCAGGCGGACTCTCAACCACTGTGCCACCAGGGAAGCCCTACTGATAACTATTAATTTAGTTATTTTTCATATACTGGTTGTACACAATTCTGTGAGAAAAACAGTAAACTAAAGGGGCTATTTCAATCATTAGAGCCAGGTGTTATACAAGACTTGAATATACTGCAGGGAGTATCTGTGAATTTTGACCAATGCAATGTAACCTACGTGGAAGGATCCTTACCTAATAGGTTTCAGTCTACTCCCCAAAGTTACTAAAGTCAGTGTACTAAAAAGAGTTGTTTTTACAGAAGGACTCCATTGTCTTCATTTTGTTAGATGTTATTCCTGTTTTGTACCAGGATAAAATAATGACCATTTTGACCTCCTGCCAACCTTGTACTTCTATAAGTACTGACAGAAATATCACTTTTTCATTTTAGGGGAAGTAGTTATAAGCTAACAAAACAACTTTTTAATTAGTACTACTAGTCTAGACTAGTCTAGGGGGTCACTGAAGGAAATCCTGCTCAAAAAATGTGTTTGCCCTCATATTTCAACTGTCTTCCTTACAACTTCTTTGTGCCTCAGTTTCTCCACCTATGAAATGCATACAGCTATATCTGTCCCTGGAAGAGGTGTGTCAAAAGACTTTAAAAAGACAGGCATTATTTGAAGGCAATATAGTTTTATTATTTTAAAATACCAATATATGTCTTGCAAACAGCTGCTAAAAGCTAGTTTTTTGGGGGTGACTTTTTTAATTTATTCTGTGGATAAGGAAAATACCATCCTTAAAGCTTAAATATACGCCCTGTCGTACAGAATTCAAGTGAAGACAGTACAAACTTATCTTCAGCTTAATATATATACACATAATTACAGATATGTACATGTACATGGGTTAATATACACATATTTTCTAGCTCTGTTTGCTGGGAGGGTCCAGAAGCAGTGATATCCCAGTAGAAACAAGCTATCCAGTGTCCAGATCTTGGTTTCTAAGTTCCACTGTATACCATTCTTCAATAAAAGGAACCTTTGAAAAGAGGCTGATTCTAGGGCTGGGGCTGGAAATATATAAGATGAGCCTGAAGCAACTTTCCTACTTTCTTACCAGAAAGGATGGAGATGCTCAGAAGTCAAAAGGATGGTGCAGGTCAAAGACACACAGAGTCAACCTGATGTAACTCGCAAAGGCCAAGCTGGAACAATTTGTAAATATGACCCACAGTACAAAAGAAATAGGCACGAATCCATACTGACACAAATAACTGAATAATAAACGGGTGTGGGGAGGGGCGGATGGTAACAAGAATTTCAAGTACTACAATAGATACACCCCCCTCCCAGGAGGCGGAATATAATCTTGCCACCCCTCGCCTCCCACAGACTGGACTTGGTGACTGGTTTGCAAAGAACAAAAGCATGGAATGGGAAAAACAGTAGCTTTACAGTGGAGGAAACTAACAGACACTACCTTAACCAAATGTCTAGAGTTTACACAACATCAAGTTGATAGCAGTCAACTACCGATATGATTTGATAAGAAGAACCACTCACCTCTTGGTTTGCTTCCTAAAAATCCATAACCCTAGTCCAAACATGAGGAAAATGTTAAGACTAACCCAAATTGAGGGACATTCTACAAGACACCTGACCAGTACTCCTCAAAACTGTCAAGGTTATGAAAAACAAGGAAAGATGAGGAACTGTCACAGACTAGAGGCTAATTAGACATGGTGTATCCTAAAGTGGATCCCGGAAAAGAAAAGAAAAACGACATTAGTGGAAAAACTAGTGTAATCCTAATAAAGTCTAGAGTTTCCTTAATAGTAATTACCAATGTTGGTTTCTTAACAAATGTTTCGTGTTTATGTAAAATGTTAACATTAAGGGTAAGGAGTATAACAAGAAGCCTCTATACTATCCCTGCAACTCTTCTGTAAATCTAAAATTATTCCTAGATTTTTAAAATCTGAACATAAAAACTGCTTCTACTGATTTTTGTACATAACTTATGACCATGAATTAAATATTTTACAAAGACATTCTGACTTTGTCCTCTTGAAAAAGCCAATGCTGCCAAGAAAATCCATGAATTTATTACAAGTTTAAAGTTACCTGGAGCCCAATTTGCTTACTTAGCCCTGAGGGATACACTTGCCTTGCCTAATAGAGGACACATCTATTAGCAGAATAGCTGCCACCATCTCAGTTTGGAAAGCCATCAGGTTCTCAGCCAATAACATATATTCAAAGTTAGGAATGTGGCTCTTTTTCCAGAACATACTTTTCATTCATCCCAATTCTGCCTGTATTGATTTAGAAAGAGCCACTTCTGCTGGTGCTGTCTTTCTCTGACTTTCCAAGCAGTTCATATTAATAACTTTGGCCAGAGATTACCCCAAAAATATACATGGCTTGGGATCTTGGGCTAGGGAAAGTCGACAGCCAGTGGTAAGCAAAGAATGGTAGAGGAACACAGCTGAGCTTTCCAAGGGGTTGAAAAG